TTCTTTTTTATAAATTTTAATTATGTATTTATTTGTTTTAATTTGTTGTAAACCGCCCAGAGTCCCCCATTGGGGGAGATGGGGGGGGATAAGTCTGATAAATAAACAAACAAACAAACTGAAGGCTGGGGCTCTAAGAATCCATTATATAGAACAAATTGGGGTATCCTGTAAAGGTGATTCCCTCATCTGATAACTGTCTCCTTGTACTGCGATCACATATACATATATGTCTCATGTATTCTTTTTATAGTTTCAATTATGCTTTGTTTATATTTTTTATTTTGCTGTATTGATAAGGTCAACTGACTAATCAATAAAATTCAAATTCAATTCAGATTTCAATAGAAATAGAAGAGAAGAGTCCCCCAATGCTGGAACAGCACATTGTTGTTTTCTAGATAAATTTTAAGGATGGGGTAAGAATAGGTAGTCTGACTAATTCAAACTTCTCCCATTCCCATCCTTAAAAGCACAAGCCCACCTGAAAAACAGGCCATAAATATACTGCTGAAATTTAATCATTTTGGTGCTGAATTTCATCAGGGAAATCTCAAGGTGCTGGGATACTACATGTTACCACACTTTGTTTTTTACTGACTATTCAGCTGGAATAGATAACAGGGAGGAAAATGTCAGAAGTTCTGCTGCTGTTCGTATTAGAAGAAGACATTTTAAAAGAACATTTGCCCCTGTTGCAGTTTACATGGTAACAAAATGGACTTCTGAGTGCTTATCTTTGTATGAACTAATGTAAGATACAATTTTGTTTATAACTTCCTAGTTTGTTCCTTCTACAGCAATACATTTTTATTAGAACTGCATATTCGAAATCTTTTCTCCTTATTCTCTACCTCAGCAAGCATTCATCTTCCTCGCATTGGATATTCAACCAAAGGCTTTAATTGGTATGGAACAGAACGCCTCATTCGCAAATACTTGGGATCCAGAGGAATTCCCACATTTGTGTATCCTTACACATCTTACACTGCTCAGAATAGTGGTTGTATCTGTCTTCTTTCCAGTGAATTAAGACTTTCAAAGAATCAGATTACAATGCTTTGATAATTAATTGCTTTTACTTTTTCTTCATTAAATCCCTTACCCAACAGTTTTGGAAACCAGGCAAAGATGTTTATTGAAACAATAGAACTTCTGAGTGAAGACATAAGACACTTGTTGAAACATGAACAACTGGGTATTTTGCTGATACAGAAAATCCAAATTGATTCCCTTCCCCTTTAGGTCATATATTTATTTCTTCATGCAAAAACATGAGTTGCATTTCAACTTGCAGTTCTGGAAGAACAATGTGTTAAGATTCTTTTAACTGGTGTGAAGGAAAGGCTTTTGAAGTCAATCCTATAAATGTTAATTATAATTGAGCAAATGTATTCACAGCAGGATTGTCAGGTTTGATTTTTTTTTTTCCCTGCATTTCTGGTGAGAGCAAACATTCAGGAGGTAAAATAGTGGAGCTTATAACTAGAACTGTACTTTAAAAACTCAAGCTATTGGGTAACATGCTCACCATGCACTTTGAATATGGACCTATTCATCTATCTGGGAACAGCGACACTATGTGATGTTACATAGTTGAGATATTCCCAAAGGCATTCCTGGAAGTTATTGGTCGTCTTGGGTGCCAAAAGAGAACATGCAAGCCCTGCCTCCCAAATCACTTCTTTTTTTTAAACATGGGAATTGTCAAAGGCCCTCCCACAATCTTTGCTAAGAAACAAACTCTAGTGAAGATTTTGGGATCGTGCCCTGTCCTAATATTTGCAAAAAAAGTATAATGTTAAGTGATGCTTATTCTCCAGTTAGTGGCAGAGGATCCAGGGCAGGCACTAGATATATGGAGCATTTCATGGCTTGAGTTTAGCTGCTAATAACTGCTGGCAATTCCTTAACTTTTTTCTTCAGATATTACTTTCCAAGAAATAAAGCATCGTCGTCTTCTCAAGAATCTACAACAACACTACAACCTTAAAGATTTTCAATTATTAAGCAGAAATTGCCATTTTCAATTGATAAGCACATCTATAGCACGTTAACTCTCATGTAATTTTCTTAATTTTTGTTTGTAAGCAGAACCCTAACCCTAACCTATGTTTGTCTGCATCCAAGATTACTAGGCAGTAGTCATAAACATCTGTCCACTGAAGATAGCACTGATAGGGAAGGTTTAATTTTTGCACATGAATCCTGAGACCTATTTAGAAAGTACAAGCTTATTTTGAGATGCATTTCTTTCTCTTCCTTACAACCACCAAAGAAAAGGAAGTAGCTGGCCTTACTGCCTGAGGAAGAACTGAGCCTGACCTGAATATGATCCAGCAGGGTAGAAGGAAAAAGTGGAAAAACCTGAATCAAGATGATAAAGGCTAAACATGCATTCAAATGTATACAGCCATCTACTCAAAATGCTTTAAATTCCTGCACGAAGCAAGGCCCCTTCCACCTCTAGACTGGAAGAGTGAGTTAGCAAGCATGTAAGGCAGCAAATGGTTGTGTGTCCTAATAGCAGCACATATTAGTAATGTTCTTTGATTTACATGTAATGTCACATACAATTTTGCTATCTGAAAATCAATATAATTTTGATCAATAGATATTGATAAGGTACTGATAAACCACCAAATCCACCAAAGAGGCTATGAAACAGAAGTGTAAGGGAGCATACTAACCTTCCTTGTATATATTATTGTAAAGCAGAGATGCTAAAATTCCTACAATACATCACTTGTGCCAATATGGCATGGAGAAGGCTGAAGCAAGCACTCATATTCTAGTACAACATCAATTTTATTTTGATCTACAATGCAAGCTAATTTTTCCTTCTTTATCGGAAATATATGCAATAGCCCATAAGAATTACTATGCTGTCAAATTCTGCCATTTCACTTTTAGATGATCAGCTGGATGATGATCTCTGTAGTATAAAAATTAAGATTATCACTAGTATTCTTTAATTATATATCCTAATTTTTAGGTATATTTACAAGTATTTTTGTGTTTTGTTTCTAAGTGTATGGGCCTCAAGCTGTACTAAAATTTGAAATTCCACATTTGAAAATTTGATTGTGATGGCTTATTACATGTAGATAATTTGTTCTGAGACTTGATAGTGGTTTCATGTGGATTCCAAGTTTAAAATCATACAAAATTCACTCTTATCAGTTTCATGATGGTCAGGGTGCACTCCATGCTAACAGATCTATTATTTGATGGTGGTTTGAGGAGGATCCCATGTAAAAATCATAAAGGAGAATCCATTTTTTAAGTGGAACAAAAGCTTATACCTTTTAATAAAATTAGTCATAAAAGGTACTCCCTGACTCCTGATTTTTAGTTGTTGTTATTTTGCCACTGTAGACTAAGAAGGCTCTCCTCCAACCTAGGTGTTATAGAAAATTATTGTGTGACTTTGAGCTATCAACAAACGTAGTCTACTGCACTGAGTTGCTGTAGTGTGTATGAAATTGGAGATGAGAGTATTGGGTACACTACTTTGATATTCTGGAGGAAAGACGGAATATACCTTTACTATATAAAGATTATACGGTCGCTGTTACCCCAGCTACTAACGTATCCGGCGGGTCTGCTTCGCTGTTTTATTCCCATCCTTTCAGTCACGGCTGTCAGATCTGAGCGACAAAGCTTCACACGACCAGTAGATGGCAGCCAAAGGTTATTTTTCCGTATTGCTGTCCTGCTAATTGGTGGTCGTTCAGAAGGTAGCGACTCAGACGCGGTGATCTTACCTGTTACCTCCCTCCCTCAGAAGAAGGGCGAGACTATCGCTGTAGAGGGCCTTATTTAATTTGCGAACCGCTGGAATCCTCTACTTTCGGATTCAAGAGTCTGCATCCCTCTTTGAGCTGCGTGCGGCTTGCCCTACAACCGAACAGGTAGGAGGGCGCCAGGATGGGCCGGGCCGGGGTAGTTTCGGTGTAGGCGGAGCTGTGCCGCCGTCTCGGCCAGAGGAAGCGGGAAGTGGCGAGGAGAAGCCGGGGAGGCGATGTGGACTTACCGCTGGTGGGGTTGCTCGCCCGCGTGCGTCCACCAGAGGCTGGCGAGAGGACCGCGGCGGGCCAGAGGTTAGTTTCCTCCTTGCCTGCTGGTTGCTGCTCGGGAATCTCGCCGCCGTCTCCTGCCCTTGCCCCTCCCCGCCTGTGTCCTGGCCGAGCCGGAGGCGCCCCGGCTCTGCCCAGGGTGGCCCTGTCGCTGGGCTCCTTGGGGTGGCTCTGCCCCTTTCGCTG